TTAGGTCCATTGTTATTTTTAATATATATTAACAACATTCACAACTCGTTTACACGCCAATCACTCTCTCCTATGACACCTGCTTATTTTACTTTGGTTCAAATATCCAGACTATGGTTGCTCAACTCAATCAGACCTAAATGTTCTTCTTCTTGGTTTCAACAAAATCTACTAACAATTAATATTTCAAAAACATCTTATGTAATATTCAACAACAAATAACTCATTCCTATCTTTCAACCCTTAAAGTTCAAGACTTGAAATCATAACAAAAAATGGGAGAAATATCTGTCTTAGAATGGATACAAATTTAAAATGGAACTTTCATATATATCCACTATTACCAAACTAAAATCACTTATGGCAGATTTTGGTCAATATCTAAATGCATTCCGCAATCTGTACGTCATTTGATCTATAATTGTTTAGTCAACCACATTTCATATACCTAATTGAAATATGGGGTACACATCAACAAAATTTCTCTCAAACACTACAAAATAAATTAATAAAACACTATTCAGATACAATTTTTTTAACACCTACTAATAAAATCTACCAAGAAACTAAAATTATGACGATTAAACAACTATATGTTTATAGCACCTGTATCCTTTATTAAAAATTTTTAAATAACTCTCTACATAGTAACTTATCATTTAATAAAATCAAATACACCACTACACCAATACTCGTCGAGCGAGTTTGCTTATCTTGCCAAAGCCGCGCACAAATTATTTAAAGAGATCTATTAGGTATGAGGGTGTGCAATTGTTTAATCGTTGCCGTCTAAGCTTCGTAACATTAGCGTGATTGATCAGTTCAAAAGGGCATTAAAGACACACATCAGAATGGGCCCATTAGACTAGAATTGGGCTAGCTGATGGCGACGTGTATCTCGTTCGTATATATACTTAATATTAAATTTCTCATGTAAAAAAAAAAAAATTTTTGTAATGAGAAATAAAGTTCTTTAAACATTAAAGACAAACTGTTCGATGTTGTTGTCCATTATGAAATTCGTATGTATCGTAATAACAGCAACGCAAACTCAGCGCCAAACTGGAAAAATTATCGATTGTAGTTATCGATATTTATGGATTTTTTTTTAAATATGGAATCGAAGACTTTTATTACGTAGATTGATGTCTTCTATAACACTGTAGTACATCACATTGCTATATTCACAATAGCTTCCGCAACGTCTTTTTAAAACCTTGGATTATACGTATACAATGGTAATTTCAAACAGAACCATAGCTTTTAAAAAAATATTCTATAGTCAATGTTCATCAAGAATAACGTAGGGTTCTAATGGTGACAGAAATTTGCAAATCAGTTCCATAGTTTTAGAGCCTATCCAATGCAAACAAACAATCAAATCTTTCCTCTTTGTAATATTAGTATAGATAAATTACTATCAGAATATTGCAATATCTAGACTAGGTCACTAATTGGACCGCAAAAGGTCAAGAAACGTCAATTAATCTCCGCATAATGAGGAACAAGAGAAAAAATTTGGCGAACAGTTCACAATTTTAAATTAATAAAATCTACACTAGAAAATATTTTAAAATTATATCAAGTCAGAGGTGTTAAAAAGTTTATTTCGTCGTGCACTAGTTTAACTTAGTTATTTTTAAAGATAAAATTTTACTGCCGTACTTATTTTAGGAAAACTTTTTATTTTATTTAAACTAGCCACTGTAAAATGTATTAATTTTATTAATATTTCAAAAGTCATCGAGACGAGATTATCATGTTTTTCAAATTTTAATTAGATTTAAAAAAAGTAGTTGAAACCATTAAATGAGTATAGCATATAATATTTTTAGTCTATTAAAAACAACTATTAATTATTTTATCCCTATTGACCTGGAGGTCAATTTAAACATCTTTTTCGTAGTATTACAAATCTGAACACTTTGGGTTCAAATAATCATAAATACTACGGGTACAATAATATATCTGCCCCATAGCCCACTATATAAACAACAAGTCTTTCTGTGTCACAAGTCTTAAATAAATAAGAAGAAACGGTTTTTAGTTGTAAGACCGCCCATTTACATCCTTTACTTCTTTTGTTTTATTTTTCTCCTGTTTTGTGTTATAGTGATGTTAATAACGTGTTATTATTATTAAAGTATTAAAAAAGATTTTCCATTATTACAGCCTTGACAACTCAAGAAATATTACCTCGTAACACAACTAATGCCTACATAAGTTTCGGTGTGTAGTTTAAAAGATTAGCCTCCATTAGGTAATGAGGTTGGTAAATGGGAGGTGCTAAGGTTTATGTGAAAATGGCTCCCGTGTGAAGGGTTAAAAGTTAATGACCCTTGAATTTTTCTCACCTATAACAGTAAAAATAAACCGCTATTGTTTAAAATTAAATTAAAACTAAAAAAACCAAGCTTTAAAGTAGTTAATAATCGTATATTTTATAATGGGATACACACAATTTTACGATCTGTTTTGTATAGGTCATTTAATTTGCCTTCTTGAATATATATTTCTGTCTTGAATATGGGGAAATCTAAGCTATGCGTTCACCTGTATCAAAACGTGGATACAAAATCCAGCAGTACAAATACAACATGCAGTTGTTTATAAACCAAGTCATATTATTAATTTCGTAAATTCAATAATATTCGCAGGTATAGTTATTTAATGATATCAAAACAATCGCATGTAGCATTTTAATGTAAATATGAAATACAATTATTTAAATATTAAATAAACACAAACAGATTAGAACACGTTTATCACAGTTACTTTAAATTAATAAAATTTTCTCGAGGGATTTACTATTTATTTAATCTTTCCTAAAAATTATTGTAGTGAAATTTTCGTAGAAAAAGACGTTAATAAAATAATTCTTGATACTAATACAAATGACGAGTAAGCCTAAGGTCCTGGATTGGCTGCAATAATTGTGTAACGGATTTGAAGCATTAAAAAAAAGATTTATGAAACACATTCAAAAATGTGTGTATGTTACGATCTCTAAACAGCTAAGCTAAACTCTCTAAAGCTCTAAATGCGTTTTTGACTTGTCTTTATAACCAATGTTTATGACAAAGAGTCAGAAATAAAAGCGTAATAAATTGCTAAGTCAAAAATTAACCCCAAATTACAATTCGTTTTCACTTTAATTGTATTGCATAATGTAAATTAATTATAGCTGCGCGAGGGCAACAAAACTTGTGAGAATAATAGCCGTGACTTGACCTAGTTTTTCACAATAATAGAAGCAAGCCTTTCAACTTGCAATTCATCATTGGTGACGTGTGTTGTTACCACAGTTAATAGAAAAGCAGTGGTTAATTTGTCGTATCAAAGCTACAGTTTTACGATTGGGTGTTTCTTACTACGGTGATTGGTGGTGTTTCTTTATAAAGTCTCTGTTTAAATATAAAGCTTACAAAATAGAAAGCCTTTTAGGAATAATATAATACATTTAACCTACAAATGTATGCCAAATGTATACCTAGCAGAGATTTATCTGGTTTTAACACAGCGTTAATACAATTTGACAGAAAGAGACCAATGAGTACTACCGTAACACGGTGTATATGACTTATCAAATACTTTATTGAAATTGTAACTTTATTTTTAATTAAAGAGCAAATAGGCTAATCGTCGTTGCATCCAAATGTGTCAATAAAACCTTTATCCTGTATCGAGTAAAGAAAAATGTCTTATAAAATAATAACAGAATTCGCATACATTTATCACGTACTGTCACTGTGCTTTAAAAATAGAATTTAAATGTTGTGATAGACACCGATTTCGTAAACAATGAACTCAGTATTTCACAACTGACAGTAAGTAAACATTGGATATCCGTAGCGTGACATTATTAATTACGCCTGGTGACAGTTTATTACTAACGGTGACAACACTGATAGTTATACAGTGACGTGTATTTTTAAGTTTTTCAAAGTATTTATCTCAAAAATCGTTTCATCAATGTCACGATCGTCAAATAGGTAATCTGCCTTCTGTCTAAAATGGTTGCGCATTCAGACGACGGCATAAGGTTATTCTTTACAATATATAAAAGTCATGAACACTGATGATGATGTTAATAAGCATGTAAGAGGCAAATTAAGAAATCTGAGGCCAGTCCTAAATGTTTATAGCGCTACTGGTTTTTATTTAAATTAGCTTGAAGAAGTGAACAGTCAGCTTTGTGAACTATAACACTACTAATTTGTTTAATAGTATTGACTGATTCATGAACACAATAAATATTATGTTTTAAAAACAAAACTTGAAGGAACTACTTTAAAGTATACAAAATGTATAAAATTATGTAACTAAATTACTCTACATAGAGAAATTTCAATTTAATTAGTATTTCAAACAAGGCAATCATTTTACAATATCATACGGCTGATTTTGTTGAGACTATTTCACAGCATTTGACCCCTGCTTCATTGGTCCACAAAAGGTACGCGTAATTCGGTTACCTGCAGATACATTCTACAATAACTAGTCAGTAATATTAAGAATATCATGTATAAAAAATACAGTACAGAAGGAGAAAGACTGTGTATTTTAGGGATATGTACCCATGACATTGAGCCTCTTAACCGGAAACCAGAACCTATGCAAATGAGAGACTATTGTGGAAGTCCGTCGTTCCACGTTTTAACGGTGTTTCAAGAATTATGCATTTTACTTCAATACCCAATAATAATGCATAAAGAATATTTACCACATCTTTATTTATTAACGCGTGATAACTTAATGAAATAAAAAAAAGAAAGCATGTTTCGTTGGAAAGGTAAAGTATAATAATGTATGTAAGTATACTTATATGATATGAGTAGATGAACACAACACAACAATGATACACGAAACAAATGCTGGTTTTACAGAAGTTACAGTGTACGAAAGGTTAAGTTATTTCTATAAAAAACTTTTGCTCAACTCCAGGTATTGGTTTAAAAGGTTATCCAAATCATGATATTCTAGTTTTAATATAAACCTCTTTAGCGAAAGATACTAATAAACTTTTTGTTATTTAAATTCAGTCGAAAAATAAAGAGATCTGTTATATGAAACAGATTTATTCTAAAATAATAATCATAACTTAACAACAAATTTAACTTACCAGAAATCTTTCCGACAGGATGGGTGACAGGAGGCGATGACGTAGTCACCGTGACTGGAGGGTATACTGGATCGCAGCATTCTCTTTCAGGAAACTCACTTGCGCCAACACTTGTAATCCCCACCAGAACACACAACCACATACACATTGTCACTAAACCCCGTCCATTATACACCGACCCCCCCTTAGTAACCAGCATCCAAAGGAGCTTACCATTTTCAAAAATTCCCCTGCTGTGATAGCTTAGCCCCCTTTGATGATAACAATCCCCCCGCTTAGAAACCCCCGTAATTCTAGTGCCATATCGTTGATTCATCTGTCACTTTATCATTACTTCACCTTACATATTTTGATTGACTGCGTTTGTGACGTTTGCGTTTTTGTTTAAATCTGGAAGGAAATAAAAATATTTTATTTTATATAATTAAATATAAAAATTGATACAACAAACGTATAGAGATAAGAAAAAAATCTGTGCCTTGGAGGATATTTTGTGGTGTGTTCCAGATCAATATAATTATTATTTATTAAGAATTGTATGTTTATTTTGGTTCCAACTGATCCGACTCGATATAGTTAAATAATATTCGTAGGAAATATTCGAAAAGCGTTACATTAAATTTATTTGTATGTTTTAATTTTTGTGCCGGGCATTATGAATTCTTAATATGCTATTAAACTTGAGAACTGCGCGCTTATTGCTTTTCTTTCAAACTTTTAAAGAAAGATTTGATTATGTCGTACGCAATTTCGAAGTTTTTCATCTTACCAAAATGACCATTGTGTAATATTAACTTTGCTGCGATTTTATTACTCTTAGTGTGTAGTTTACGACTTTTGTATCAAGTGTTCATATATTTTTTTCGAAATATTGAGACTGTAATTAAGAGAAAGTCTTAACGAAAATTTACCGCTATCACTTCGTGGTTTGGGTGTGAGTTTAATTACTTAGTCCACTTTTTTATTTATTTAAGGTTAAAAGTTATTTAAAAAAAGGGCCCACAATCAAATGATAATCGATAAACTTGTAATAAGCTTTTCACCAAAACGGCATATTTTAAAGATACACTAAAAACATAATATATAATACTTTTGTATGTTTGAGTTAGTTAATACTATGTTGAATTAATTATACATAAACAATTCGTAATACCAAATTTGACGCTAAGTAGCGGGCAATTACTACTTAATATCGCTTTATATTAATTTAATCAACATTTCTCTCTTTGCATATCTTATAATTTGACATTTTTTATAAATAGCCACTACCAACCTGCAAAGCAGCCTTTATAAATAAAAATCGATAATCGTAAAACTGTTATTTTCCGTATCACGTGTATAAATAACAAATGGCGACTTGCCGGTCATGGTACTAATTAAAACTTCGTTTAGTTTATAAGAACTTTAAGTGCGATGTATATGCCACAATTGAATGTTATCAAATTTAAAAATATTTTCATTGGTTTTATTTCTAAAAATAATATTAATAGAGAATATGCATAGGTTAGTGATAATAAATATTCTTGATTACATTTAATCAAACTAAAACTTCAATATATTACTTCAAAGCAATAATATCGTTAGGTTCTGTTTTTTTCTTTTTTTGATAAGGGAATATTTCTGTTTCTAAATAACATTTAACAATTGTTCAAGAAAACAGCCTGCGAGTAACATTTATGGGTTACAATGGTCTACGTCGTAGCTCCGTCTACGTGGCGCCGTAGCCCTCATTTACTAGCATGGTATTCTACAATATTAAACGTATTTATAAACCTACTATTAGCCACTATCAGTAAAGTTTTGTAATTTTATTTTTGTACAAGAGAACGAAAACGAAAGTATTTTATTAAGGACCACCCATGCGGTCTGCAACTAACATGTTTGACCATAACATCACAATCTCCTTTTAAAAAACATTTGCCACCTATGTAGTCCTGTTTCAGCAAAAATCTGATCATAGCCTAAGCTTTCTTACTCGCAACAAGGTATAAGAGGAAACTTTGACCGATTGAGAGGGATGGAAAGTTCAGACTAGGTCTTATTAAGGGCAATCTCCATTATTGATTATTTCTTTTAAACTCTTGTTATTCCTACATGATATTTCATATAAAAGGGCAAATGTAAAGGTCAGTTCAACACTTCAATTTAGACTTTGCTCTGCAATTTTACAAAATAAAACTTTTTTTAATTAATAGCTCGCTCCTCATATAACTACTAAACATGTAATTATTAAACAACATTTAAATTATTTTTGCGTATATAAATGTTACTTGTAATGTGTTTATTCAGATTTGTCATTAAATAATAGTAAGAATATGAAACATTATTTTATTATATTGAGCAGTGTTAGCCTAGTGGCTTCAACGTGCGACTCTCATCCCTGAGCTCGTAGGTTCAATACACGGCTGTGCACCAATGGACTTTCGCGCTTTTAATATTCGCTCGAACGGTGAAGGAAAACATCGTGAAGAAACCGATGGCATGTGTCAGGCACAGGAGGCTGATCACCTACTTGCATTTTAGGTTAATAAATGATCATGAAACATATACAGAAATCTGAACAAAAATCCCAGACCTAAAAAGGTTGTAGCGCCACTGATTTATTTTATTTTTACATTATTTTATTATTATAGTTTAATGCAAGTTTGGAACTGAAAACATCTTTAATCATGATATGAGAAGGAACATCGTATGTATCAACAAATCGCTTACAACTTTGTAACGAATGCTAGGTATCAGGGGAAAAACTGAATATACCCAGTTCCCGCCATTTACAGTTCGTGATTCGCGCGCTTTTACAGTCGATCAAGATATATTCTATTTTTAAATATGAGTGGCCCTCACTTCCGCCGGCTCTAAATCTACATCTTTGCAAATTAAAAGAAAATTACATAATCAATCTCATACAGCGTCAATTTTGTTTTAAAGATATTCATAAATCTGATACTATGTATCAATGCGTTATTCTATACAATTAAGCCTAAATTAGCTTTAGAGGCTTGGAAGGCAAACTAAGCTTCACGTTACATAATATTGAGTCAGCGCATATCGATAAGTATACGTCATAATTCGTTATCTAACTAATTTCATTATATATTTAAGTTAATTTAAATATTCGGTAAGTTTAAATTTAAGCACGTTCAATCTTTATAACTAGGTCATACGTTCGACGGGATGAATCCCAGGCTTTGTCTACAAAATTCCATCCAAGGCACAGACTATTCACAACACTATAAAAAGGAGGTTATACAATTAAACAAATGAATTACGTTTAAAAAAAATCGAAAATGTACGCGTGTTTCATAACGCGCCGTGCGACCACCGCAACAGCCAAGATTCTACTAACGTAGTAGACGATCGGGTCACCCCTCACCCCGATAAACCCCTTTGAGCCCTCGACCGTGGCTACCTTTCGACCTCCGAAATGATGTAAACACAACTTTTAAATAAAACAATGTTGAGCTCTAATTTCATCTGTGTTAAGTTGAAAGTTGCCTGTTAATACATCTGATTTTCTAACACTAATGTGTGCCGGAAAAGCGAATGCGCCCCACAGTCTCACAAGTCACTACAAGAGGACAACGCAAGATAAAATTGCAACTTTAAGCTTTGTACTTAAGGTTCATTTTTCATTAAACTCATCTGAAACGTGAGTAAAAATTGTAAATGTACGGGTCGAACTGAACACGAATGTCCGAATTCGATTATGTTATAATTGTAACAATGGTCTGTATGAACATAATTATAAAGTGTATATTTGTAAATCAACGTGAGCTTTCCTGAATGCTTTTGGCTTTCCACGGTTCATATTAGCTATTTCAAAACTTTAGTGTGGTGTGTAATTATGAACCTTAAACAACAGGTGAAAGAGTTGACATTTTGACATTTTCTTTTGAATATGAAAAATCGAAATTTAACACCAAGAGACGTTTATGAATGCGAGCGTAGATTTTGTCAAATGAGAACAATAAGATGTGCATTTACTTGACAAAGTGGTTGCATTCTATCTTCAGGAAAAATGTCTTAATAATTCAAGAATTTTCCTCTTCATTTGCGAGTTGCGGTCGGAACTTAGAACTACTTTATCGTAGTAAAAAGTAGAGTTTCCACTTTATGTGGTTATGGTGATATTCATTTCATCTAATTCTATTTTTAAATATTTAATAGTTTGTAAATACCCTAGATACAGATTATTAATTTGGTCATTATTAAAGCTCGTGACTATTATTATTAATCATAGACATGTCACATCCCGCTGCTTTTACGCTTTCCAGCTTTCATGCACACGGAGCTCACGAAATCAAATATTAAATATTTAAATTAACTAATTTATTGTTCTCTCAAAATTGTTCGGTTGTCCTTTTCCCAATATTTGAGATTCAACTCGAGTATTTGCAAACCAATTTAAAAGATAGAATGAACATTGAAGTATTAAGTCCGTTATTGTAACTCAGCTTACTAATAAAAATATACGATCTTGAGCGTTTATTTATAAATAAATATTCTCGGATTATATCTACTTTTTCTGTAAATTACAGAATTACGTAATTATGTTTTTAGTGCCGCAATATTATAAAGATATGTAATAACTAAAATTAATCTAATTAAATAACTAATACTATTTCAATAACAAAGATTATATTTCTTATTTCTTTTGTTGTTATTGTTCAGCAAGGACCCCGTACTAGGTAAACGCCTCCTCCAATGCTCAGAAGAATTAAACCCTCAATAAACGAAAAGCTAAAATAACTCGTTGAAATCAAATACTCGATAATATGCAACCTTGGTGAGTGGTTTATTTAATATATCACCTGGTTTGGTCTTAGGGCTAGAAACAGGTCAGGTAGCTGTCTGGGTCGAATAGGTTGACTATAAGTTAGCTAAATCTGTTATAAGTTTATTTGTATTAACCTTGACATTAGCAAATATTTCAGGATCTAACTCGCGGTTACAATTTTGAAATAACACTTCAATAAAACTATGATGTACTTTAGACTATCGAAACTCATTGTTCAACAGAATTATCCAATAAAAATATTGAACCAGCCTCTACTGTATTAATGATGAAGAAACAAGTTCTTCATATGGCAAATTTTTTAAACAATAATGTAAAATAATAAGATGTGATAAGTTATAAGTAAATATTTATCAGAAACTTAATTAAAAAAGGAGAGCTTCCCTTCAAGTAGATAGGAATTTTAACAAATTTAATCGACTTTTTTAGTTGATTAAATCTGTTAAAATTAAGGATAAACGAAAACGAAATTTTAACAATTGTTACATATGTGTGGCACAAAGCTAAACCATAAAGTATAGTTGCCCTATTCACTGTAACGCACGCAAACCACAGTTCGATTGGTCTTTAACAAATTTTGATAACATGACCCCGTTATTTTTTTATTTGATTCATAAAGTGAGTTATTCAACGGATAGTTGAAACTGTTACAAAGATTGCCCTAAATAAATTATGAAATATTTATGTGATTCATTAAGTTAAGCTTAGTGAGATGATTGAAATAATTTAAATAAACAAAATTGTCATATAAATCACTTATCTTCGTTGAAATTGTATGCAAATGCATGAATGTAATGTACCGATATGAAGCTTTAAGAGCCACTTATCAGTTACCATCTATTTATAATAAAGCAAGTTTAAAAAATGGGAATTCTTTACAAAACTTTTTTTTTATATTTTAGTATCACACTACTTTTCACAATGTGTTTAGTTATTTTAATAATGGTCTGATGTCATAAACTTGGAATTTAACTCAAAAGCCTTGCGTCCATAACAAATTGAGTAAAAAAAAATTAAAGCCTTTTATTTCTGTGACCACACAATATGTATGTCAAATACAATACAAAAAATACTATTTGGTCTACAGGGTGTCCTGGGACACGTAGGCCCCTTCTGGCTTTCTCAACTTGTCCCTATCTCTGGCAACTCTAGGACACACAGCTCCTCTGGTTTCTAGATCATCCCTCCATCGCTTGAACTGTCTACCTCTTTTTCTTTTCCCAACTCGTCCCTGCTATTCGGTTATAACTTTCATCATCGCCATTTTAGCTGTAACACATCTTTCATATTTGTAATAACTCTGACATGGTCCTTCCTAACATGAACTTTTCGAGTGACACAGTGAGTAAATAAAAATTCATAGTTAAATAACGCATCCATTGTTTTTTCACCAACAACTGTGACAGAAACAAATGTTTCATAATTATACATTCACTAAAAGTAATCAACTCACAATTTCCCTTTAAAACAATAACTTTAAAGTCAAGAAACCGCTCCTTTGCAAACGTAGACTCCTGCCGTTTTAAAATTGCAATATTTCCTTTGAACAAGTTATAACTACGCCAAGATACAGTAATATTTAACTGTGGTTTTAAAGTGCTCATTGTTCGTGACGTTTCGTGATTAAATCAAGATTCAAACTACACTGCAGTTGTTTTAAACGTAGAACGACGATGATAATTTAAACGTTATGATGTTATGTACCTAGAACCAATTAGAATTCTGTGCAACTGCTAATTTTAGACTAAAATATATTTAAGTCGTATACGCCAGATATTTCTTAAGTATATATTTGTGATATTCTTAGATATTATTACCGTGCATCGTTTATGTATCAATTATCAGCATAAATTTAAATTTCTTATTTGTTATAAAACTCAACATGTCACTCTAACTTGCTAACACTTAACTCTGATATCCAAAAGGCTAAATAAAGCTTATATTTTTGCGACTTCGTAGACCGACCATGGCCTTTTTAGCAATATGTTCACGCGTACAAAAGATTCTGCCAGAATGTTTATATATTATCCACTTGGCTTGACAAGCGAGTTGTCGCAGTTTACAAATCGTTAGTAGGCCATGGATTTATATATCTAGATCGGGTTTAAAAATATGTCCACGTTCGTAGGTCAGTAATTGTTAGTCAGTTTACCCGTTTGCTTTAGTTTTAAAATACCAAGAAACCAATGCCGCTACAACCTTTTAAAGCCTGGTGCTCAGATTTCTGTTTATATTTCATGTTTAAAAGAATCATGAACATCAATTCTAATAGGCAAGTTCATAATCAGCCTTTTGTGCCTGACACACGCCGTTCACTTTTTGAGCATGCCAGTTTCCTCACAATGTTTTCATTCAACGTACGAGTTAAATGCGCACATAGACAGAAAGTCCATTGTTGCTCAGAAAAAGCTATTGTATAGTTAAAAATTTCTATATAATTCGCAACATTAATACAACTTAAGCCATACGACCTTCTTAAATACTTAATTAAATAATATTTTTTCATTAATTTTAAAGTGCTACGAGGATAAAAATAGCAAAAAAGTAAATACCGTTTTACGGCTACGTATTAATATAAGGGTCTGTTTATATTTTGAAACTAAGTTAGAATTTAGAAATACCAGAAGACGCTCAATCTAAATAAGCTAGTTTAATTGGCACAATATATACGTATATATATATAGTCTATTAAAAAATTTTAGAATAACTCAGATATCAAATTAAATGCATATCATTTATTAAAGCAGTGTTCGCGTAGTAGCTTCAACGTGCTACTTTCTGAGGTCGTAAGTTCGATCCCGGCTCTACACCAATGGACTATGGCACATCTAACACTCGCTCGAACGGTGAAGGCCATCATCGTGTGGAAACCGGCATGTCTCAAATCCAAAAATCAACGACATGTGCGTCTGAAAAAGAACCTGAAAAAGAAAGTTGGAAGTATTTGTCGATGAATAAAAATTTAAAAAAATCCGTTTAAAATTATTTAATATCAATATTTTCTGTGTTCCGTTACTTTTTTATATATGTATATATTATATGATATGAATAGATAGCTACGACCTATAAGAGCCATGGCCTCCTCCAATTGTCACGAAGCTTGGTGACCTCCAGCTCGTGAACTTTGCCATTGTTCTTAGTTCATCAAAATTTACGTTTCGTATAAAAATGTTTACAAGCTTGTAGTTTCAATACAAATATTACATATGTAACAAGCGCCCTCTAGTTCTATACAAATACACTACTTTAAGTGACTGTTTCTGTAGTTCATAACGTGTTGACTGGTCGACTACAGCTGTCGCTAATGCGACCTTGCTAAATTTATATCATTATATTATTGTTATCACTTCACTTAATAATTTTCTGGAACATAAATCTCCTAATAAAATATTTTGTTGTTTTGTCACTTTCTACTCGAGTTGGTTGTAGAGACATCTATTAGGGTATAATGCAAATGTCGCCATGAAAAGCTTCAACACAAATGCGCTAACACAAACTTACAACAATTCGATAAAATTAAATATTTATTTACTATATACAATAGGATCATGAATTAACATTAAAAAAAATACGTACTAGCTGTGTAAGTTAAACTTCCAATTCTTTCCACTCACGACTATTTTGTCAATATTGAAGATCCCTCATGATCTTCGGTTATTATCACTTTTCATATTGTGAGATAAAATATTAAGATATTCGATTTTTTATACTTTTTATTAAAACCTTGTCCAGATATTAACGAATACATTAAAAGAAATGTCCAACTGGGTGCAGCCGTTCGTTTTGCTGGTCCATACATTTAGCAGTTCATTTCTAAGTATTTATAAAGTTATTTATTCTTCTGCAATTATTTCATATTTTAGTTGTAACGAATGAAATATAACTGGAAAGGCTCCATTAATCCATTCATAATATCGTATACGATACATTATGGAAGTCTATATAATTATATGTATGTGCAAGTATTAAGTATTATTTATTATGCATGTTTTAATCTGTTTAGCCTTTTCACCTACCCCACCTAAAAAATTATAAAGCATTGTGTCAGCTCGATATCAAAAATTATTCTTCATACAAAAGTCTAGAAAGATTGATACCGTAGAGTACGAGTATGTATTCGCCACACATTATAAGCGGTTACTCAGCCATCTAGGAAGGAACTGGAGGTTTTTTAGGTGATGTCACATTATGTAAATCCGATTATTCACACACTATTTGCCTGCACAATGGCAATACATAAGCTGTGTTGTTTGTCTTAATGCAATATACATTGGATTACATAATAACGTATCTATTGATTTACATTTTATAAAAAAACATCTGGTTTCTTTATTGGTAAGATATTGGAGTACTTTTGAATTACTTTCGTAAATTGCTCAGCGGAAAAGGAATCTTTTGATATTTTGCATTCATTACCTGCAACAGTGGACACGGAGATTCACATAGAGAAGAAAAATTATGTTTTCTATAATTGTGTATAAGTATGACAGTCGGCAGGGGCACAATAAGTTACAATGGTGCGCAGAAATGGTTTTTGAGACGTACAGAAAATATTGTCAAGTTACGTGTCGAGATCTTGCATCTATACTTAATTTAATTTCCAATCTATTCAACTTCAAACAGAACACAAGTTCAATAAAGGATAACAATATAGTAAATAATAAGGTAAGGATGGCGATGAAAGCGTATTTCTCTTATATATCGAATGTTTATCTTTTAAAGATTAATGCAATATCCATTTAAACTCTTCACATTGGTTACAATTATGTTCAGTTATCAACCACTATTTATACAGATTAACTTCGTTAGTTTTCTTCCGTTCAGATAATAGCTTTTTTACCATCCCATTTTAATTAATAGCTTTAGAGCTGTATATAATTGACTAACGTAGGTAAATTAATGTTCACTTATGAACGTCAGTAAACAAATGAATGCTGCTAAATTTACATTAACTGTCAGTTTTCAAATCAAGAGCGTAGAACGGACGAGAAGAATATAACGGGTATAAACACCATCACTCTATTAAATGGCCAAGGTGTCGCTATTATTAAGGCGAACGGTAGATATGCCATCTTAAATAGATATTTTAACCCAGGTATACAGATGTATATATAACAAAGTCGTGGAAAATAGTACTAGCGACAATTAAAGACTATTGGGATACGTGGTTGTAAGTCGCGGAATGTTATCAATATCAATTTGACCCATAACACTACCGGCCGGGGCAGAGTGTTGACGCTTATCTTCTAAGTTTAGTTAAGTGTTTATTTATTATAATGAAATTTTTAATTGTGATATTTGTGCTGTGTGTTATACAAAAGTTTTCTTTCGGTAAGTACAGATTTCGTAGTTTAAAGAAGGGTTTTTATTGTTAAAAATCAGAATATACTTATTTCATGTTTATGATAGTAATAATTCTTCTTCTTCTTAAACTTTTTCTTAAAGCGCTTAATTGATTTTATAAATATTATATTGAGCTGATGTTATATTTAAAAACTTTGTTTATTTCTAAAATCATTGTTTAATTTCTAAAAATTTTTAATGAAAAATAGTATTTTTACCCTAGCGAAGTATTACTTTCATATTTCACTAATAAGTAAATGAGTTTAAAATATAATTGAAAAGAAATGTTGATTGGTAAAAATAATTCAGCAACTAACTACAATCTAATTATAGACAATAACAACTTATCATGTTTCTTATCTTCAAAGATGATTCTTAGAAGGAATTATTTATTGTGGAATCGCTTCCGAAGCAAGGTTATGACTTGTTTTCCGTTGCTACTTTAGGTCCGACATATACAGTCAAAATCTGTTATAAAGACATCGAAGGGACTACTCATATTTGGTTGTAAAAACCGATAGTTGTAACAGCCGATGACGTTGTTATTAAGTACCTAATACAATAGAATTCAGCCGGGACCTTTGATTTTAGTCAATATAACCGGTATTTTGTTCTAAACGATGTCGTTGTAAATGATTTTGACTGGTTGATTCAAGTTGGCACAAAAGGTAGACCTTAAAATTATCAATAAAACCGGTAGGCTGGCACAATGGTCCCTCTGAAGGTTAGGGTAGTTCAAACACTGTAACCGAATATTTTTAATCCCTAGAAGTTTAATTAAACCTACTTTTGATTAAGGATGTTTTTTTATTTAAATCTAATATCATTGAAAAGTGTTAACCTACAGACCTTTTAAGACTTCAATCTGTGTATACATCTATTTGACCTTCTGTTGAGCGAATTATATTAATACTATGTTTAAACAGATGCACATACATGCCAAGTCTGAATGTAAAGTGCTTATTAATTTGACGTAAGATGTATTAATTATTTAAAAAATTATGAACGGTTTAAATCAGTAATCCCATGAAAACGCATTAATTGTATTCAAAACATTTTATTACTCTTGGCTCTTTTATCTCTAAGAAAATTTAAGAAAAGTATTAAAGAAAAGCTGTGTTAAAAGGCTTACTATAAAGTTAACGATTATTTAGTTTATAAAAGTGCCTGGGACTAGTGCTACACAGGCTACTTCTAATTAATTTGCGATATTTGTTTTAAAATAAGTTGTTTGCCATAGTCATTTTTTAACGATGATTCCCTATTTTAAAAGAGTAGGTACCGAGAGTTTTTTACGCCGGCTTTTCTCTCGGCCTAAACTCTCTGTCTTCTTTGCTGATGAGTCGGGATGTCTACCAATTCAAATTTAATAACGTGGAATAAGTGATACCTGTATCTTATATTCCATAATAAATATATTTTATTTTATTTTTACTTAATTCATTGATTATTATATGTATGTAAGTTTTGTCTTAATATATTTTTATAATATATTTTTTTTTAAAGACAATTCACACCAATTGACCTAGTCCCATGCTAAGCTCGTGAAGCTTGTGTTATGGGTACTAGGCAACGGATATACATACATATTATAGATAGATAGACATATAAATACATAATTAAACACCCAAGACCTAAGCACAACACCAAATGTTCATCACATCGATGTCCGTCTCAGCCGGGGATCGAACCCGGGACCCATGGATTCGCAGTCAGGGGTACTAACCACTAGACCAATGAGTCGTCTATACTAGTTTAATGTTTGCCACCTTACAACCTATTACAATTAAACCGGTATTATTGAGTCGTAATTTTACTTTTTGACATTCTTGTAGAATGTAGCTGTAAAAATATCAGCTTATATAGAAAAAGTCTTTTCCTCTAAGTAAATTAATCGGCCAATAGCTTAATGGATTAATTAATTGGAATAAACGCTGACCCAGCTATCGCTTCATAATAACACATCTACAAGGCCGCCTTCGACTACGCTGAGGCCCTAGATCATATTGAGGCCCTTTATAAAAACATTTATAGGATGTTAATCACATAATCAGTATTTTATTCATATGAAACAGGAGGCCTTTTAGCCTAGCCAATTATTATTTATTTACGTTGGAAGACATAGAGGTTGTACTATTACTTGACTTAAAGGAATAATTATTATTACTAACTTGCTTATAAATATTGTAATAAAATGAATTATAGGGCTTAGTTAGTTAAAACGAACATCACTAAATGTTCAGGAGGATGAGGAAATTGAGATCCTAAAGCATTTATTTATTTTACAATTTTTTTTTGAAAGTATATTATAATTCTAAAGAAACTGTTTATAACAACACAGTCTAAGCTTAGTTTTTGTTTTGGGGCTCTATCATATGTCCTTTTAAAAGGCCCAAAGACCTGTATGATGTTACATGGGTATCGTGTGTCTAATCCTGTGGATTTGCCCGATATTTTCTTGACAACAGCAATAATTAATAGGATACAGAGAAACTAGTTCAAATATTGTACCTTGTAATACATAATTGTATATGAGTTTAGAAAATATAGTTTTTAGGTTATTTGCTACTTCAGTAGTAGATTTTGTCAAGGACCATCGTGGATTTCACTATAGTTGTAATATTAATATGTAAATATTATTCACTAATATAAGTAATGTTAATTGTTTAAAACGAATAAACTAATAGTGGTAATTCATGTGTAGACAGCAGAAATAATCTATTATATATATTAAGGATTCTTAGCTAAATTCAGTTAATTTAAATATTTGCAATAAAGGGATATATCAAAGGGATGTTTGAGTTCCACCATGCTTACAAGTTGTCTTTGACTAATCATAATAGATTAGTAAAAATATGAATCAGTGCGTAGTTATGAGCTGAGAAGTACCTATTATTAGTACGACGGGTGCATCTCTGAGGTCAACAAAGATTATCGCATCGCAAACTAAAACAAATACATGATATGGTCATGTTTAGAAATGTTTTTCCCGGTATCTTGGAGAAGCAATAATATACTGCGGAGGAAAGTTCAACTTCGAGAATAAACATCAGAAAAACATATGACGATCGAGACTAGCCTATTTTCTGACATCACAGACCATGTTTCTTTGGTGGCTTTGTAAGCTATTTTGATTTTTGATAGTTTTTTTGTCTTTAATTATATAAGTTTAATAATATGTTTCTTTAAAATTTCGTTAAATTTATTCTTCTTTGTAGATATAAAAAGCGTCATAGTAAATGTTTCAGCGTCAATTTAATTTTTAACGTTCAGAATCTACTTCAAAAATATTCATATATCTTTCAATTGAAAGCCCATTTACCGAACGAATTATATGTTATAGAATTCCTTTTCTTCTAATTCACCAACTAGGTGCAATCTAAAATGCATCATCCTCATCTCCGTAGCAATTTACTTGTTGCTTTGACGCGTTTATCACTACTTGACATTGTTCTACATTTATAAAGACGTAGGCGGGTCGTAGGTCACTAAATATGTTGAAAAGTTTCATACAAGAATATATTACGATACAATATTCTTTATTTTGTATCCTAAAAATCTTACCCCTTTATAAAAGGTTAGGTTATAAATCTTATTTAGGGGCCTCATAGCCTAGCGGTCTTATTAAGTGGCAGCTAGGTGAGGGGTACCGGGTTCGATTCCCGGTTCGAGGGCAAGTTTTAATTTAATTTGAATTTGTTCTCGGCCTTTGGGTGGGTTGTGCGGTACCGGGCGAGTGCTTAAACCGTACATGGAGGACACGGTCGAATTTCTAAAGACAAGCACGAATTATAAAAAAATCCTATACTTGACGCTGGCTAATGCACAAATCGTGTCAGAGCCATAAAAAAAAAAGGGTTTATTTTACCCTAGGTATACTTCTCTTATTAAAAATAGTTTGGCTTTTTCCACCTCAGTTTGAGTTCACAACATAAGTGACAACTCTTTTTTTTTCAATTTAGTCACACACTATTATCAATTGTTTTTTGTCTCTTTCTTTATATTTGCTAAAAAAAATTACATGTTTTGATTAAACAATTGGTAATTTTTTTAATCAAAACATACTCGATAATATAATCAAACTGATAGTAACCTCAATTTATAAATCACTTAGGAAGGTTGATGAGCACAGTTTTTCACAAATTTAATTAGTATGGTTTGAATATTCAATTTAAATATTCTGATTTATATAATTCAAAAGCATTGCTAAATTTCTTTGAAAAAATAATTAAAACTCCTTTATTTTTTAAAAGTAATACAAATGTCATTATGGTATTCAAAATTCTTGGCATACGAACTCACCATTTCTATTTCTTTTTACTTGTAGATTGTCTTATTTCTATCTCCTCCCCCTTAATCCACTCCCTAATTTTGTTCACAACTCACAGGTCCCCACGTAAAATTTCACTCTCATAAATTTTTCATAACGCCAAAGAAGTATAACTTCAAAAATCTTATTCATATTACTAAATCAATATTATTGCACTCATCTGAACTACCTACATTTCTCGTACTGACAAAATTTGTTTACGTTGTGTTGTAAAGAAACTAATGATTACTTAAGTTTAAATATACCTATATAGTTTAGCTATACTAAAATATTTTTTAGGAAGGTTATTTTTAGCAAAGACACCTGTAAATGGATTATCATTGTCGACTCCTGTCACTATGCAATATAATAACACAAAGCAACATTTAATTATGACCTAATGAATACTATCAAGGGTGTTTTTCCCGTAAAAATTACCTATGTAGTTGGTACGCCTGGATATATACATCAGTCATAAGTAATGTATTGACTATCCAATCTTTACATAAAATACGTAATCTGCACTTTGTTCTCAAGACTTATTAAGAATTTTGGACGTAGAATCTACAAAATGCATAAATACTTATAAATACACTGCAAACAGCAACCCGTCACTCGGGAACTCTGTACATTCATACTCTCCGCTGACGCAGGGACTCAAAGTGAGCCTTGGCCTCCGAAACTTTAAACCACCAGCACATTCGACGAATGCGCGCTAGTGTATGGCGATCTCTTGGAACTCTCGTAGGGCTTTCACCACGACGTCTTTCCGTATATCGAGATACGTTTATTTACCACTCTGCTCTTATTCACAGCACTAACATCAGAAGAAATACTCGACGTCACAGACGCATGCTGTACACACGGACAATCATACGCTCAAAATGCAGAAACATGCGCAGGCGCACGTCCGCCAGATGACATAGAAGATGAGGAAAAAGAAATTTGTAATAGTGCTTTAAAGAGTTGCTGCGAAGACCAGTTGCAGTAAGACTTACAGTTTCATTGTTTAAATTTTTTATTTAAGAAAATAATGTACCAAATATGGTCAGCTACTCAAGCTACTCAAGTCAAGGCAGAATAGAAATTTCCGCCCGTATCACCTCGACGCGTTTTTTAAGGCAGTTTTTGCCACGCACCACCACTATGTGGAACCAGCTACCCATTGAAGTATTTCCGTACCAATTTAACTTAGGGTCCTTTAAGAAAAGAGCGTAGGAAGTTTTCTTTAAATGTGTAAAGGTTATGTTAATCAAAGACAATACTAAAGAGCGTAGCGATTCTTAAAATGCCGGCAACGCGCTTGCACGAGCCTTCTGGCAATGTGAGTGTCCATAGGCGATTTTACTTAACATCAGGTGAGTGAGCCTCCTGTCCATTTGCCTCTTATTATATAAAAAATAATTTATTTGTACTTTTCTTTAAAATTTACTATAATAAATTAAATTTTTACTCTTTTGACAATAATTGGCATACGTTGTCTTCAATTGATAACTAAATAAATATGGAAATCCTCATGCTTATCATGTTCATCATCATTCTTCATATCTATCTTGCAGGGCCTTACTTGAGATATGGTAACTCAGTTAATGATACTTCTTTGTTAACAGGCAAAAAAAGGAATGCGCTCTTGGAATGAAATTGGCAGAATCAAAACAATGCAACAGCCCAAACAGTGATATAGGAAAAGTAAGTTTATCTACTTCGCAGAAAGAGACTGATATATTCGCTTCAAAACGTGAAATCTACATGTAAGGCATAGGTCCAGCCTTTCCGAATTCTAGAACTTAGGATCCAGTCCATAGAAAAAGAAATAGACATCCACACCTAATAATACACTACAAAACACACTCCTATGCGGTCGCTACTTAACAACAGACGACACGTAAATAAATACGTTCATGTCACGATAAAAAAAATAAAACAAACAAACCAGTGGCAACCCTCTTAGGACTGGGCCTCAGGTTTCTGTATTTGTTTCATGATCATTTATCAATCTAATAGGCAAGTAGGTGATCAGCTTCCAGTGCATACACGCGGTTGACTTTTTGGTTCTAAGACAAGCCGTTTCCTCACGATGTTTTTCTTCACCATTCGAGCGAATGTTAAATGCCAACATATAAAGAATGTCCATTGGCCACAGCCGGGGATTGAACCTACGACCTCAGGTATGAGAGTCACACGCTGAAGCCACTAGGCCAACCCTGCTCATATATCACGATAACGATAGTTAATTAAAATTCGACAGATGTGTTGCAACGAATGCTCCTTCGGCCAGCTCTCAGGAGAGTCCCAAGGGAAGCTTGGCTGTGGAGAGCCCTCAGAGGACTTTTATAGTCCTACGGCGACTTTAAGAAAGAACGCTTACTACCAATGTTGTATGGTACGTATGATAGTTTTAGAAAAACTAGCCAAGCGTTCACGTTTAAAATATTCACACAGTAAAGACCTTTAGCCGGTGGAAATTAATTAACACCACCACATATCAACACATAGATGAGTATTATTATTTTAGTTTTGTTTATTACAAATATACCTTGAAGGGTAGAAGTGTTGTTTAATATTCTATATTTAAATTAAAGGCGGCAGCTGAAGAACCAGAAACCACCACAAAGGCTAAAACAACAACACTAAAACCTGACGTCAAAGAGACGTGTAAAACAAACTCTTGTGAGCATATTTGTAAGGAAGACCGCGGTCGAATACACTGCGAATGTCGACAAGGATTCAGGCTTCAACCAGATAATAAGTCTTGTAAAGGTACCTATATTTATTGCACAAATATAATAGACTGTTATCTAATTGATTTCTTTATAAAAGACTTAAATAAAAATAGCTTTTCTAACTGCTGGGGGATTAAAAGTGATTTGAATTTGGAATGTTACAATACACACGTTCCAAATTCAAATCAGTAAGCGTTTCAATCACCAAAGAGATTAATCATGTATATTGTATGGAACTGTTACTGGCTGTAAAAAAATACACGTACGGACAATTTAAAAAAAGTTTCTGAAAAAGTAAAATATCGCGAAACGACTTCTTTCTTTTCTGAAATATTAAACATTATTATATAAAAAGTTAGTGCAACTGCATAACTTTTTTGTCCTAGTCGATAAAAATTAGAACGACGCAGTTTGAATTCCTTACTGCTCAAGATTATGTTTAGCATCCCTCGCCTTATATATGTGTTTGCTCCCTTGATCAATCTATCTATCTATCACTAACCCTTAAAAATATATAATATATTATAATACCTAGACTCTAATTAGAATAATTTTAATTCAATTGTCAGACATCAATGAGTGCGCTGAAGCAGAGGATGATCTATGTCTTGCGGCTGACACCGTGTGTCACAATACGGAGGGCTCATTTAGATGTGTGCCCTTAAACAAGAGGGAGGTTGGTCTTAGCTGTCCTCCTGGCTTCAAGAGAAATGTTGTCAACCAAGTGTGTGATGGTAAGGCTTCTTTTATCATAAATTGTAAAACAGTTACCATTAGTTTGAGAACGTATAATTGGGTATATTAAGTATTATCCTAACTTACGACTAAAGAACGAGTAAAGAAAAAGTGCGTCCGTACAAAGTACACATCAGAAGTGAAATTTCATTGGCAAACTAATTTTTAAGTCTTGTTCATATTTATACAAAACTAAAACTTTAGATTTCCGAAACTTAGAGGGAGAGAAAAAGGAAGATATGTTAGGAATTTAATGAATTGAATTGTCATTAAATTTGAATAAATTATTTTGCATAAAATATAAAATACTAATTTCATAAATTCTCTTTACGAAATTTTAATTTTAAAAATAGAAATTCTATAAGGTAATTCGCCCTTCTCACTCTCTCTCAATCGGTCTCATTCGCTCTCTCTTTTCTTCTTCAAAAACGCTGCACATCTTCGTGACGCTTATTATTGCGTTTCATCTGTAAAAAATTTACCCTCATGAGCCTAAAGAAGTTTCACTTCAATAATAATTTTTATACAATAAATTGACGAGTATGTTGTTGAATACTTTATCAGACTGAGAGATCATAGCAGTACCAATACTGTTCAAGCAAATATTTTTATATTCTAACTTTTCGAAAACATACAATCAAATATGTTTATTACCCATTTTCGGAAACAATAGAATTTTTACAGGTGAAAGACGTATCAAAATTAGTTCAGTAATTCCTACTCACAAACGTTACCAAACATTATATAATACCTATAGTCTTATGTGAATATATTCCAATTAAAAATATGTAGATATAAACAATATTTGTCTAGATATAAACGAATGCCAACTGCCGCGACCGCCATGTCCGAAATACCTTTGCGTAAACACAATTGGTGGCTACAAGTGTTCCGGAAAACCTGGAAAACCCTTCGTAGAAGAAGTACCAGGTGTGACAACAGAGGCTGTGGTCACTCCAGCTCTGAGGAATGATATCTGCCCTCCTGGTTTCAGGGCCGGTGACGATGATGAGTGTTTGGGTAAGATTTTCCATTTATGTCTTTAATTTCCAAAGCTGTGACCGTACACAAATGTATAATCTCATTTATTCTAAAATCATTCACATAAACAGAACAGAACAGAAGTCGGCTACGAAACAATGGCCGATTTGTTAACACTTAATTATAGGCTTTTATACCTTATGATTATGTTAGATGGTACTTTAATACTTACAATAAATAAAACTGTATTGAAAAATGACTCGTTGGACATTTTTTTTTGCCTCCTTATAATCGTTGTTATTTTTTGTTGAAAATTGACCGACCCATGTGATTTCTTTGATACAAACTCCTCTCGGGATTTTCTGAATCTGGTTTGATTGTGAAGAAGTTGCATGGATCTTAAGTTCTCATGTTATTCATAGCGTGTATATCTTATTTCTTACAGATAACAGTTTGATTGTCCTCGTTTTAACGTGTGTGATATTTGGGTGCATAAATATTACCTTACCTTAAAATTATTTTTCCAGACATTGACGAGTGCGGGGAAAGATTGGACGACTGTCAACATCTTTCCCAACATTGTATCAACACGCATGGCAGCTACTTCTGTCAGGACCACGTCTCTAAGCGATGCGCTCCGGGGTTCAAAGTTAACCCTTCTTCTGGAATTTGTGAAGGTATTGCTTTTTAAATCTTGACCGTTACTAAATCCCTACTTACGTATCAACGCAGATACTTTAATGGTTATACAGTATTGGTTTATTTTGTTACGAGTCAAAAGTTTGTGATTATGTTTGGGTTATTCGTCAAAATTTATTTGGTTTATAGGGATAGTACTGAGGAAGTTATAGAGCACATACAGTCGTCATACTCGGCCTTAACGATTTGAAGATAAGATTAACACGGTATATATTAACGAAGTATTTACAATTTTCTTAACCTACATAGTAATGATAAAAATAATAAAAAATTAATAAAAAGAAAATTAAAACAAATTTAAAAAGTTTGGTCTTTGTGGCAGTTTACCTTTAAAGCTGATGGCATTTTCTCGCTATTGCGATACTTATATGTTGAGCGAGGAATGCACCGGCTCTGAGGTCACCGGTACTGTCTTACAGGCGCCAACTTAAATCTTTAATAAGTACCTGTGCACTTGAACCTCATTGCCCAAGAGTCTGATATTTGATTGTTATGAATACTAATAAATTAATTTTAATAAAGTAATATTATTAAATTATGAATATACGAGGTTGCGATAATGCCCTAAGGTTGAGTCTTTGGTAGACCTCTTAGCCTAGTTTAGCTAAAATCTTCCACAATTTATAAATTTATAAATCATTGAAAAATCTTGAAATTGGTACAGATATTTTTGACAAACGTACAGAAATCGTTTCTCTATAACATAGATTTTATATAAAAAGCTTGATGAAATCAAAAATAATATAATACAAATTATATAAAAAATAATAATAACTTTTTGTAATTACATTCTAAAGGTTGTAAACCAACAATAGGCAACGAATCGAGAGTTGAGATACAATATTCATTTAAGTTAACCTTATACATAATAATAAATGTACTTCTATTAGCACTAGTGTTTAAACTAGGCCTAGCCAGTATCTTAATCGCTAGTACCTTCCAGTGTCATTAACAAATTGGTTAAGTTGTTTGTCATTAGATTTTTTCATGTTTAATGTTATCTGAAGGTAGAATCTATATATAAGCTGTTGCAATGGTTTCATTATAATTATTTAAGTATTCAGGTGGCAGGTAATTGAATTGAAATTTGTAATTTTATTGAAAAAAAGGGCTTAACTCAAATGCGTGAAGCATTCATCCATCCCTCAGCTCCATTGTATCTTTAAGGTATTTTGGTAGCAATTAGTCAAATAAAAATTTTATTCAACCATTCAGCCTATATACATTTATATTACAGACATAGACGAGTGCGAAGAAAGCCTGGAGGTGTGCAAGCGCAGCGAAGTGTGCGTCAATCTACCTGGAGCTTACAATTGCAAATCTAAGATTTCTACATTGCCCAAGTAATATTTGCCTTTAACATATGTGTACTATTTCTTTCATATATTCTAAAAAAATAATTTTAAATTAAAAACTGTTAGAAGTAAAATATTTTATGGATATAGAGATAGATAGATAGAGTTTGTCGAAAATCTATCTATTTAAAAATTTCGTAGTAGGTATCACATCTATGTGATATGTTTATGATTTGTTATAAAACTAATTAAAATTATTATTAGTGTTTGTGCGTTTAAAATTGAAAGTTTACGGTGACAATACAGATAAATATAATACTTTGATATTTTTTTATTATCTATTTCAGCAGCTATACCATTTTTGTAATGTCATTTCCAGGTTAGCAACAAAGAAATGCCGAGAAGGAACGCGAGTGAGACCTGGGGGCTCAATTTGCGAAGGTAACTCTCTCAAACCATCAGTAGCATATATAGTCATATTTTAAATCCAACATCAAGAAAGGTTAAAATCAGTTTGTCCTGTTTGTTTGTGATATTGGAATAATAATTGATACTTATACTGGTGACAGTTATTTGCCTAAGGGGAGCACGTATATAAAATTTGTATGTATGTTGTACAACAGTATTCGAAAGTAAAAATCTTATTTAAAGTAATTAAAAACTCCAACGAGAACACTCCAAGTTTCATTAAAGTCTGTTCTGCAGCTTTCTGAAGAGAAATTTGTATAATGTAATAGGGGAATAATAAGATACCATTTGACAATTACTTGAACAATAAGTACTTGGCTTAATTTTTCTTTACTTAATTTTTCTACAGATATAGACGAATGCAGAGAAGGAACACATCTCTGTGACCAGTTTCAGAATTGCATCAATACATTTGGAGGACACGAATGTCGCTGCAAGAATGGTTTTGAACTAGATTCTTCCTCGGGATCTTGTATTGGTTAGTATTCAAATTCGTGAAATAATACGATAGATACATTTCCTAAAATCTACCACCCACTAATTTTTAAAACCACCAAAATGTCTGTTTTATGGAGGAACAGCCTAAACAAATTATATTTTTTTGTTTTTTATGTGATTATTTTAATTGTATTCAAATTCATAAGTGAAATAACTACGATAGATAATAATATTATTTTATATATTTTAAGAACGGTCTGAAATTAAGAGAGCCACCCGGTTTCGATCAGGCTGGTTTTCTAAGCTGGACGCCCTCTGCTCCACTTGGACTTTAAGCAATAATATTACAAAGAAGAAAGATTTGATTGTTTCTTTCTTTGCATTGAATAGGCTCCAAAACTATAAAACTGATTGGTAAAATGTTTTACCATTAGAATCCAACGTCATTTCTCATGAATATTCTCATGAAGAAAGAAGTTAGTATCCTATATGATAGTGAAACGCAAGGTGTGAAAAAGACCAATAAAAATCCCAAAATTACGTACGCTCCGGAAGCTATTGGCAATAGAGAAAAGTCATGTACTACAGTTTTATAGAAGATATTAATATCTACTAAAAATTCCGCAATATCGATAGTCTAACAAAGAAATATAAAAAAAAAGAAAGAGCTAGAAATAAAGGCTATATAGTGCTACGAACTCTTTAATGCAGGAGAAACCGCAGAGCACAGCCAGTATATATAACTAACAAGATGATTGATAATAGAATTTAAACATTTTCAGATATAGATGAATGTGCTCTGAAATTGGACAATTGCGAAAGAGGCATGACGTGTCTCAATGTGCAGGGTTCTTTCACGTGCAGTCGTCGTGGTATCACAACTACGAGCACCAATGCACCTCCAATTTATGACTACGAATATTATGATTCGGAGTACGTGTTATTCATCAATAATATTTCTGTTTTTAATTTAATAACAACAATTGGTTTATTTTCATACGCGGCATAATACTTCATGTTGTTACATCCTTTTTAAACACAATCAGTCGGAAGTTTCGTCTTGCGTCTTTTGTTTTACCGCCGTTTTTTTTGTCCGGCAACGCACCCACAAAAATGGGTGATCATGGGCTTCTAGGCTTTTTTTGCGCCTCCCCCCACCCGGTAAAAAAAACATCCTTACCCTGTCAGACAAAATAATATAAAAACACAGTTTCCAACCATTTTGAATCGTGATTATTTTTATTTTAGGGAGGAAGAAAATATCACTGAACCCAAACCAGAAACCACTTCATCAACTACAACAACCACACCCCGTCCAACAACGACCACAACAACAACAACACCGCGTCCAACAACAACATCTACAACAACCACACCCCGTTCAACAACGACCACAACAACAACAACACCGCGTCCAACAACAACGTCTTCAACCACAACTCGCAGACCGTACCAAAATCCCAGGCGCTATCCATATTATCCCCGAACAACGTCAACTAGTCAACCTCAAAGAAGGCCATATTATCCTAGAACTACAAGTACCACAGAAATTCCAGATGAAACTAATACAGAAATCCCTTCAAAGCCAGACAACCCTGATGATAAATACCCGTATATCCCTAACCCTATTAATAATAGAAGACCAGATGATTCCAACAAACCTACCACGGTACCAGTTGAAAGAAACCCATACGATAGAGAACCCGAGAATAGACTTCCAAACAGAAGACCGCGGCCAAATCCTGACACAGACAAGACAACAGAAATACCAAGACCAACAGCACGAAGACCCGATGAAAGACCGCACTTCTACCCCCGCAGACCTACAACCCTCACAGAAGTTACTGTAACAGCTCCTACAGATATTAATACGATAGAAAGAGACAGAACACCTGAGGGAGCTTATGATATAGATACCGGTAATATTCCAAAAGATAAATGGACAAATGTCATAGGAAAAGATCCTGTGGAATCCGAGTTTGATCCCATACTTATTCATTGTTTAAACGGATTTGAAAGAAATGAGAGAGGAGAATGTATAGGTAAGATTTATAAATAGTATTTGATTAAATAAATTAACATGTTCATTAAATTAAAAATTAACATGTTCAATAACTAAACTTAAGTCAATGAAAATAATATCATACCTATAGATTCCTGTTGACATTTTGCATGCTTGATCATCTGTCTATAAAAATCTAAAATCTTTATACTGGTTATATCATTTGGCGGTTGGAATATTATTGGTATATAATATGATATATGTATGTTCCTGAAATTCATGTCTAACTTTTAAATATACATATTATAATTTAAATCCGATTTACAGACGTAGAAATATATATTTCCTCAGATATCGACGAATGTGAAGTAGGTCGCCATATTTGTAGTACGCTGGAAATTTGCAAGAACAGACCCGGTGGTTACCAATGTGACTGTATATCTGGATTCACCAGGGACGGTTCAGGGTGGTGTGCACCCATCATTACCGCTCGGACCACTAGCACCACTCCTCGTACTACTAGTACAAGTAGTACAACAACATCTACCACTCCAAGGACCACGGTTTATGACACTGAGGTTACGACAGGTAAGTTTCATACAAATCTCTGGATTTATTTTAAATCGTTTTGGTAATTCATGAAAATGTGAACATTTCCTTTATAGTATAACAATCTAAAGCTTTAAAGGTACACTGCCACACTGCAATAGGTCATGGTATTTTTAGTAGATCAGGTACTGTACTTGACTCATGTTGATTTCTGGGTCTAAATCGAGACTAAGACAAATATTAATTTTTAATTATTATTACTACTTTTAATTTCTGTATATTTATTTTATTAAGATAAAATATATAGTATTATATATTTAATCTATAATAATGTGCTTAAAATATTTAGACTAGCAAGCTTGGTTTCGCCTAGATATAATTTTTTTACTTAGTCTACGAAAAACCAAACTGGTTTTTAGGTTTCCCGTGCAATTTTTCTTTCCATAAAGCCTTCCTCAGAGTTCAAGGAATAATAAAAAAGATTACTCAAATTAGTCCAGCCGTCTTCAAGTTTTGCGCTTAGCAACATATTTTGCGATTCATTTTTTTTATATAGATTTTGTCGGTCTGTTTGCGCGATCTTTACCTAACAAGTTTTATTTCGTTAAATTCAGACATCAGCTCAGTCACCTAGAATTTTTTTTTAGCGTCAACAACACCTGTATGGCATTATCAGCCAAACGAAGGCGATAGGCCACGAGCGTCATGCAACCAAGGCTTCTATTATAATTTCACTGAGAGAAGATGTGTGGGTAAGAAATATTACAATTTAATTCAATGTTATTGCTTAATAAAGTACCAAAAATCATACGAATTACATATGTACTAATGTGCGATATGTGTATATGTACTAAGAATAAAGATCAAACTAAATGTATTTTTTAATACAGTTGCTCAAAAAGTGGCGTATTGCAGGGACGTATAGCGTTCCGGATGTGGGCTATTACACACTCGTGCTTTTTTTTTACCTTTTCCGAACTAGTGCGTTTTCTTTCCCAACTGTCAAAATAATGTCTATTAAAAAGAAAAAACCAACCACGAAGTTTTTACTAAAAAAAATTCATAGAAATTTTTATGATTCATGCAAATATTTCTAAAAAGAAACTACTGCTTTGTTTCAATATCATATTTAATGATGATGATGATTCAATGAGTTAGGTTAGATTTCATTTCATATCAATAAAAAATTGTACTGAAGACTTGGCTGTATGGGCATAGTTCCCTTTGCCTACCCAGAATGGGTGAAGAAAAAAAAATCTGCTTATATTCTTTTACGGTTGGCGCCATTTTCCATAAATGTTCTTTGCGCGTTTATTTGTTTGTTATATTATATAATAAATATACATGAACAATCATACGAAATTAATAATAGTTTGTCTCAAACAGTAAATAAATATGCAACCTAAAACTTCTCCAGTTAGTATAAAAAACTGTACCAATGTATATGTGAACAATAATTTGTATAAGAAATAAATGATTAGTTAGTTGAGTTTATTGTGTTTTTATTGTTTAATTAAATTGCATAATTTTTTCGCAACTGTATTAAAAATAGTTGTTCAGTACACGTGCGGAACCGTCACTGCAACTTGTTCCGACTGTCAACCCTCACCTTCGGCTGCGCCTCGGCTCGGGTAGACATTTGTCGAAACTCTTTGCAATGACAGGCTTTCCGCACTTGTAATGAAATATACTATATTTGGTCATTTTCATTGACAAGGATCAGCTTTCTGTGTTTGACACAAGTTGATAGAAAATATCTGGTTTAAAGTCGAGACTGAGACAATTATTATTGATGTAAACAAGATTTAGCGCTAACTAAGTATGTACCTAATCGAAAATAAGATACTGGAAAAAGGTAAATAGAAAGACCGAGCAAAAGCTGGTGATATAAAGAGAATAGGAGACACATCTTTGACTAACATTAGAAAAGAATGGAATCAGCTGAAGACGTGTCACAGGACACGCTGATCACCAAAACCGGCACATCCGATGTGTTACCTAGATTAAGTTAGGTTATGTAAAGTGTTCAGTGTTTAGAATCGCACACGCTATTGGATCAATACTGGTTTCAGCTGGTACTAAGTAAAAATATTATTCTATTCTAGACATTGATGAATGTTCGACAAGCAGAGCAAATTGTTTACCAAAGGAGGATTGTATCAACACAGATGGAGGATATCGGTGCGAATGCGGCCGACATTGTAGGGGAGACTTTATACCTAGTTATGGTATATATATCTTAATAAATTACAGATAAAAAATTCCAGTGGCGCTATAATCTAGCAATCTGCTATTTAGGTCTAAGCCACGGATTTGTGTATCTGTTTCCTAATCATTTGCTTTAATAGGCAAGCAAGTGTTTCTCACACACGCCGTCGACTTTTTGGGTCTAAGGGATGTCGGTTTCCTTACGTTATTTTTCTTTAACATTCGAGCGAGTGTTGCACAAAGTAAGTTTGGTGCACAGCTGGGGTTAGAACCTGGGGTTCGTTAGGTTTATGTGAATTCGCGTCTATTTATAATTTTGTTTCAAATCAGATTAAAATTTTACCATTAAAAACTAAGTTTTTTTCCTTTATATTTAACAAATTAATAACAATATCTCGTTATATTTCACATGTCAATAAAGTTTATTGGTAATTTTTAGTTCCCCGCGACCCAGAACCGATGCCGGAGACCAATATTATAACAGTCGGTGCTCAATATGGAAGACGAGGGTCTCGGTACATGAGACCTACTTACACTCGTCTACCAGACACAGGATCTATTGTAGCAACGTGCTTGTGGGGGTACAAGTTGACTCCAGAGAAGCATTGTATCGGTAAGCGCTCCAATATCTTCTAAACATGAAATTGCTTATGACATTTTTATATTAAGAACATCAGAAGGTTATTCTTTACTAATTCGATTAAAAGAGAGACTTAATATTCATTCTTATGCGCAAATTTTAGTAAATTCTATCATAAATGCTATCAGTACTTTACCTCAAGAATATAGTATGTGTTTCTCTATTTATAAAAACACATACGTTATGGCTTTCACCCGAAATTCTTGATAAGCAAATGTGATAAGTCTAACGTACCGAATACCCACAATGAAAAAGATATATACTAATATTACAAGGAGGAAAGGTCCCTACTTAATTTTCTGCTCAAAAACTACTGGAACGATTTCAAAAATTCTTTCACCTTTAGAATGCTACAAACAAGTAATATTCATTAATTTTCTCACTAAAACTTCATACATAGAGCACAAAATAAACAAGTTACAGTAATTTAATATTATAAATTAATACTCGTATTAATTTTTAAAACGCTATATCTATTTCCTAAAATGACAGGCCCACCCAGTGTGAAGGAATTGTTCGCCATATAAACAATACATTTCTTTACAGACATAGACGAATGCGAACGTAAGGTCTCAGATTGCGGTCCGGAACAAAAGTGTGAAAACTTCTACGGCGGTTACTCGTGTCAGTGTCCGGGCGGACATCGCTTAGTCGGGAAACGATGTGAGGATGTCGATGAATGTAAATTTGGAAATGTAAGTTTATTTTCTAAAAAACTTATCAAAACTTTTTTATGATGTAATTCATGCTTAGCTTACATCCTTTAAGGCAGCCCTAATTTTTATAGTTAAAAAATTCCTTTAAGATTTTGGAGGTCCGTTTAAAATAAACTCGCCGTGTGTTAGCTTATAAGGTAAAAATCAAGCAAGGGTGTTAGAGGTGTAATTATTGTCTATATAGAAATGGTGACCAATACGTTTATGACATACGGGATAATTAGCACTAATAATAACAATAGCGTCTTGTTTTAGATACTTTTACACTTAAACACATTTATATATCTATGATTTCATTATAATTCAATATCTCTCGCCCTTTTTTGGCTCCTCGAAATCCTGCCATTCTTGTCTGAACTGTGCCACTCTGTACCACATGCTTTTTCATTAATCTGGTCAATCCACCTTCTAAAATACTTCCTATTTTACGTTTTTCGTACCTTTGGCACTAGTTTAGTACTTTATAGCTCCAATTTTCTGTTCCTCTTGCCATGTGCCCCGCCCATTTCTAAGATTTATTTTTATTGTAACATCTGCTACCTTAGTTATTCTATTAAAGCAACATTTAACGATAAAAAACTGACTACCGAAACCGTTATCAATAACAACTTAGCACTGTATCGATCTAACATTAGATATTGTAAACAATTCTTTACTCTGCTACCTTAGGATATGAAAATATAATTAAAAACATACTTTAGCTGAAAAGTATTTAAAATGTGTGTGTGTTGTACAATATACTAAGGTCAATTACATTATAGCCGTGTTCCTACAACTCGAGATGCATAAACACAGTGGGTTCCTACCGCTGCGAGTGTGGTGAGGGATTCCGCAACGCTCCTTCTAATGAGAAGGTGTGCGTTGACGTAGATGAATGTGCGGAGTCATCGTCCCTATGTGAGCACTCCTGCGCAAACGCATGGGGTGGTTACCGCTGCTATTGTAATAGGGGATTTCGACTTAGGAGTGATAATAGGTATGTATTTGTCAGTTCATAATAATACTATTACAATAGTACAAAATATTTTTATTCCTACTTAAAATTCTGTTGTATCACAATTAATAAACATACGTATATTACTGATAGTATTTAAAATGTGTATTGTAAAGTATGTTAAGGCGAATAAGCATCGCATAGCATTCAAAATGTGCCAGAGCAAGCTGTAACACAATGAAACCTAAACTATACGGTATTCCGCATCAAGATGTATAGAATAAAAGGTATAAAGAATATAGAGCAGTGCTGGTCACGTGGCTACAGTGCAGCATCTGACTTTCATCCTTGAGTTTCGATCCCCGGCTGTCCAATGGACTATCTTTCTATGCGTGCATTAACATTCGCTCGAACGGTGAAGGAAAACATCGTGAAGAACCGGCTTGTTTTAGGCTCAGGCAGATTGCCAAATGATCATAAAACAGATATAGAAATATTAGGCCCAGAACTGAAAAGGTTGTAGCGCGACTGATTTATTTTTATCTTATTATAAAGAATAAACTTTAGTCCCCGGGTAAGAATTGGCGCGAGACAAAGTGAAACATACCAACGAAAATTATTTAAACTTATCCAGGACTTGTGAAGATATTGACGAGTGTACTGAAGGGGGCAGCGCCATCAGTCGACGTCTATGCGGAGGACGATGTGTCAACACCCCGGGAAGCTATAAATGTGCCTGCCCGTCCGGATACCGGCTCGCTGATGATGCAAGGAGCTGTATAGGTATTATTTATATATGCATAAATGGCTCAACTGATGAAAGGTGATACCGCCGCCCATGAACACTGTTGTTGCTCTCGTTTTAAGAAATACTTAAGTGGACAGCTGGTTTCACATATTCATTTCCCGCTATGATCTTTTGGTATCTCCTTGTATTGTTTATCAAAACAACTTAATATTGCTCTAAAATAGTATGCCTTAAGTCCGATACAAATTTTACTATAGTACTAGCGAACTTAGTTTCTCCTTAATGCCTAGACTACCTTTTTAGCACATACCAACATGGAACATTTTGCTATGCTACCCCAGAGACTGTTTGGTTTTCAGGAATGAAAACTTTTTAGGGTTTTCTGTGATTTTTATCTATAAACCTCAGAGTTCAAGTAAGTTTCTAAGCAATAAAAAATAGGGGTTGATCTTAGAGGGTAGATGAAAATTAAGGGTTGTATGTATTTTTGTATGCTGTATCATAACAAATAAAAACAAAAAAAATTGTCTAAAAATAAAAATTGTTTTTTTGGTGTAGATACCAATTATCACTTAGGGGTTTGAAGGATAGTTAGTAGGCGATGCTCAGACTTACTGAATATGCATTCAAAAATTCATAAGAATCGGACGAGCCGTTTCGGAGGAGTATGGGTGCGAACATTGTGAAACGAAAATTTTATATATTAGGTTTAATACAATAATAGACTATATCTAATAAACTTAACGAATGCTTTCCTAATAAAAAATTTGCATTTGCGAGCTTAGCGACACGTGAGAGCTTTGCATAATTAAATCAATAACAGTATAGTTTAATTTAAATGATTCGTTTAAATTTAATTTTACATATTACAGATGTTGACGAGTGTGAAAATGGATTAGCTCAATGTGGTCGCGAGCCTGGCTCAGTGTGTCAAAATACGCGAGGAGGATATCATTGCCATAACATACGATGCCCACCAGGATACAAACTGGAGGGAAAACAGTGAGAAAATATTTTATTAATAAAATAACTTGGTTACAGATATTATTTTAACAGTTTACTAGCACCGCATGTTAATAATTTCATAGTAACGTTTGTATAATATATGGAAACAAAATAGATACATAACGAAATATATACATAAAAGAATAAAAACAAGATATCAGTATAAATGCGTCCCAACGTTTTACAGAAGTGGTATAACCCTATACGTCTATGCTGGCAAATATTCACGGTAAAATAGGTTTTCACAAATAAAATATTTAATATATATTGTTACGAGCTAGGGGATCGGATAGAAAACGCCGTAGATTTCTTCAAGGGTTTATTTCAATTAAATCTACGAGGAATTTGTTAACACTAAAAACTGGAAATTACGCACAAAAATTCACTAAATACACACACAAAATACTGTCACTTATTACTCTAATTACACGCACTTCACACAGTACTTGTATTCACTTGTCTTCACTATATTCGCACTTTGTCACTCCGGTGTTTATCGCTTGGTATCGCATTCAAAACTGAACTAATCGGTCGCGTTTCGGCTCGCTTATATATCCCTGGGAGCGATGTTCGAGAACTCTCTAGGCGGCAGTGCAACTGAGTAGCGATCGCACAATTCTAGAACGTGCGTACTAGCTATCTCTTTCGCACATTGCTCCGTCCTTGTCGTACGGCGTTCTAGAGTGCTCGGTTTCCTGAAAAGTGTACCATTCGACTACACGTGTTCTGAAACGGCCTGATGAATGTTTCAGGCTCCTGAAAACTAGGGTAACATTATGTAAATTGCGATTTTCTAATATGTGATTGACCCTCCCCTGAAACGGTCAGAAATCACATTTCAGCCTGCTGAAAAGTTCTCTAAGTAGTGGAAAAATCTAAAAACATTGCAGTCGACCCGTCTTCGTAACAATATATACAGTTAACTGAATAACAAACAAAACACAATTTATATTAGATGGTAATTTTACCTTCCTCTTAAATTAATATGTTTAAACCGCAATTGTTTTGATGCTTAAAATATGTATTTCAAATGGAATAGAAATAATAGAACACTAGCCAATGAGATAATATGGCGATTATTAAATAATAATACTAAAAACATCCTGCTCCGTACTGCGTTCAAACGCAAAAAAATTAAAATCTCTGTTGTGATTATTTTGTCTTTTGAGTACCTATGTACTATAAATCGCTGTTTTTTATTTATAAATAAAGAAGTGTCCTTAAATTGTATATTTATATTTTTTTCATATCTTCTATTTGTGATATGTCTGTCATGTGTCCTTATTGATAAATAAATATAATATCTTTGCTTTAAGTAAGTTTTCCTTTGAGTAAGGGTGTCACACCCACAAATGCTGATAGCGGCCAAAACGTCGAGTTTAATAAATAATAGGATAAATTCACATTAACGTCCTTTAAAGACATTTTATTTAAGCCCATATTTTCGTTTATTAGCAAATGCAGCCGAATACAACGCTCGTGTCTCATTTCTGACTGGGATTGTTTGCAACGTCCTAGTACATACAGTTACAACTTCATCACTTTTGTGTCTAACATCTTTTTACCGTTGGGAAGGGTATGTACATTTCTACATTAATATTACATTAGAAACCCTTTATATTTATTAGGATTCTACATCTGTTTCTAGGTCAAAATGGTTTCATGACAATGTTTTCATATGTATTATTTAATGCGCATTTTAAAATATTTGGCAAACAGTTTAAACCCATCGTGGGTTAGGTTAGAAGATGCCGTCTAATAATTATTTTGTACCTAACAGTAAAGCTTCTGTAATTCCCATTTATTTTTTTATTTGGAGGCACTTCTGGCGCCTACTTAAAAAATAAAATAAATCAGTGGCGCTACAACCTTTTTAGGTCTGGGCCTCAGATGTATGTATCTGTTTCATGCTCATTTGTCAATATAATAGGCAAGTAGGTGATCAGCCTCCTGTGACACACGCTGTCGAGTTTTTGGGTCTAAGACAAGCCGGTTTCCTCACTATGTTTCCTTCACCGTTCGAGCGTATCTTAAATGCGCACATAGAAAGTCCATTGGTGCACAGCCGGAGATCGAACCTACGATCTCAGAGATGAGAGTCGCACGCTAAAGCCACTAGACCTCTGCTGCCTATTCTTATTATTTATTCTATGTCCGTGAGTAAATTCACGGTGGCAAAGTGTACGCATAAAAAGACATTAAAAGAATAGAAAACTTATTACTTTCAACTTTATACTATACATTGTTTTTTTTTGTGATGCATAGATACGTAATAATTATGAATAATATAACTACGTGTGTCTGTTTAGGTGGACTTATTCACAATGCACGGCCCAGCATGGCGGGATTCGGTGGTCAGTTTTGAGATGCGCATGATTGACGTCCAAGCCTCGCCCGGAGTCAAACCCACTGATCTATCTTGTTTCGAGTAAGTAATTTTGATGCAAGAAGTATCTAATACATAATTACATTATCTTGATTTTTTCGCTATTTAATAAAGAAAAGTTTAGGCATGTCAAAAATGCAAATCTCATCTAAATGTACCTCATTGTTAAATTTTGCTAGTTATTGTTAAAACCTTTCAACTATAACTTTAGTTTTATATATTTTATAACTTTTAAAAAAGCAAAACGGCTGTAAAACGTGTCTAGTTACAAGTTTGTTACATTCCAGGAAATAATATAAACTGGATATGTAGCACTATAAACTTTTATGAAACAAAATAAAGAATTTTTTAAATTGAATAAAGAAAATTAAAACCATGGGTAGAATAGCGTGTGCGTATTAATTTGAAACAAAAAACCCTGAAACAGATAGATCTCATAATTTTTTTTTTTTTTTTTTTTTTTTATGTAATAGGAGGCAAACGGGCAGGAGGCTCACCTGATGTTAAGTGATACCGCCGCCCATGGACACTCACAATGCCAGAAGGCTCGCAAGTGCGTTGCCGGCCTTTCAGGAATTGGTACGCTCTTTTCTTGAAGGACCCTAAGTCGAATTGGTTCGGAAATACTTCTGTGGGCAGCTGGTTCCACATAGTGGTGGTGCGCGGCAAAAACTGCCTTAGAAAACGCTCTGTTGTGGAACGACGGACGTCGAGGTGATACGGATGGTATTTTGTATTTTGCCTTGACGTCCGATGATGAAACTCAGCTGCAGGTATTAGACCGAACAACTCCTCTGAACACTCTCCATGGTAAATGCGGTAGACACAACTCCTCTGAACACTCTCCATGGAGATGCAGAGAGATCCCACATCTCTACGCAACGCCAAGGGATCAAGCCGCACGGAAAGTGACTGGTCGTCGACGATTCGAACCGCTCTTCGTTGAATACGGTCAAGTGGAAGGAGCTGGTACTGGGGAGCTCCCGCCCAGAGGTGAGAGCAGTACTCCATATGGGGCCGAATTTGCGCTTTATATAGTTGCAAGCGGTGGCCCAGAGTGAAGTACCGTCTCGCCTTGCTGAGCACACCAAGCTTTTTGGAGGCTAATTTAGCCTTTCCTTCCAGATGACCGCGAAACTGAACGTTATTCGATATGTCAACGCCCAGTATTCCGATGCTAGCTGAGGCTTTAAGGAGAGTGTCTTCAAAGAGGGGAGTAGCGACAAAGGGAGTTTTTTTAGCGGAAAACGCGCATACTTGTGTCTTCTTGGGGTTAAATTGGACTAGATTTAGTCTACCCCAGTCCGAGACTCCACGTAGAAGAGTTTCGACTTCAGACACAAGTTTGTTCCGGTACTCATCGACAACAGCCCGAGAGATACCTGCCCGGCCAGTGTAAAAAGTATCCCCAGTGCTGTCGTCCGCATAGCAATGAATGTTGCTAAGCTGCAACATATCATTGATATGCAGAATAAACAGGGTCGGGGATAGGACACAGCCTTGTGGGACACCAGCATTCACAGGTTTCAGGTCGGAGCATGCTCCGTCGATGACGACTTTGATGCTCCGATCAGCGAGAAAGCTGGAAATCCAGTTGCATAATTTCTCAGGGAGCCCATAGGCTGGAAGCTTCGAGAGCAGTGCTCTGTGCCACACCCGATCGAAGGCTTTCGCTATGTCCAAACTTACCGCCAGCGCCTCCCCCTTGGACTCAATTGCCTCTGCCCACCTATGTGTAAGGTATACAAGGAGGTCACCAGCCGAGCGACCACGACGGAAGCCGTACTGAGAATCGCTAATCAGCTGGTGGCCCTCTAGATACCTCAAGAGCTGGCTGTTAATAATGGTTTCCATTATTTTGGAGAACAAGGAGGTTATAGCTATTGGGCGATAGTTGGACGGATCAGAGCGATCGCCTTTTTTAGGGATCGGATGTATCGAAGCGATCTTCCAGCACTTCGGAACAGTGCCGAGCGTGTAAAGGTACCGGAAAAGGCGCGTTAGGACCGGAGCCAACTCAGGAGCACAAGTACGCAGCACAATTGGAGGGATGCCATCAGGCCCGCTCGACTTATGGATGTCCAAGGAAGACAAAGCTTTACGGATAGCACGTTGCCGGAATATAACTTCGGGCATCGTAGTATCACACCGCAATAATGTCGGTGGTTCCTTCCCTTGATCATCCAAAGTGGAGTTCGACGCAAAGAGACAGCCTAGAAGGTCGGCCTTCTCTTTCGCGGTATGGGCAAGTGAGTCATCCTCCCTATGCAGTGGTGGAATTGAGGGCTGACAGAAATTCCCTTGGACAGCTTTGGCAAGAGACCAGAAGGCTCGAGTTCCCGAAGGGAGGTGGGCCAATTTCTCCCCAAATCTGGCAATGTGCTCTGACTTTGCTTTAGCGATTTCTCGCTTGAAGGACCTGGAGGCTGAATTGTATGCTGACCGATAGTCACATCACAGGATGTCACCGCTTCTGCCCAGGCTTTAAAGCATTCACGCTTACGGCGCAAAGCCGCTTTGCAGGAACGCCTAAACCAAGGCTGGGACTTGCCACCGACCGGCACCGCAGAGAATGGAATAAAGAGTTCCATACCCTGCAGGACCACCTCGGCGACAGAGTCAGCGACGGCATCTGGAGTACTCGACGAAAAGCAAATGGGCCCCCAAGGGTAGGACGCAAAAAAGACCGCATCCCATCCCAATCTGCTGACTTATAGTGCCACACGCGGCGACAGCCCGTGAAGCTAGGCCGAAGAGGGCGCGTGAACGGCACAATGCTCCGGACCACACAATGATCTGATGAACCCAATGGCGGTTCAACAGAGACTTGGTAGTTCTCCGGATGTGAAGTCAGCAGAAGGTCCAACAAAGAGGGTTTATGACCATCCACATCTGGTATTCGCGTAATCGCAGGGACCATTTGCGTCAAGTCATAAGCCAAAGCAAAGTCGTGAAAGGATCTTCCCGCATGATCGGTGGTTTCTGAGCCGAGCCAATCGGCATGGTGGGCGTTAAAATCGCCAAGTATCACGATTTCAGCGGTAGGAACCCTTTCGAGCAGGGAATCTGTAGCCATTTGGATGTGCTCAATGAGTCGGTCAGTTTCGGTATTTCCGCTATGGGACCTATACAGGCATGCATAGAATCGCGGATGGTCATCGCAGTCTACGCGCAGCCAGAGGTTAGATAGGTCCCTTCCTTCAAGCGTCCCGAGGCGACGAGAACAGATATCCTCTCTGACGTACACGCAAACTCCCGCCCGCGGCACAAATGAATGTTCCAATTTGTACCCCGGGTAGGAGAGGTAGGAAGTATCAGCCGGGGAGGAAATCTGAGTCTCGGTAAGAAAGAGCAAGGCCGGCTTCGCAGTCTCTAAATGGTAGTGGACTGCGTTGATATTAGAATTGAGCCCCCTAACATTTGTGAAGTCCACAGCGAGCGTGGACGGGGGTGCCTTTGTTGAGTTGCTCCGTTTGCCCGGGAGTCTCTCTCACCGCACGAAACGCGAGTACAATAAGGTGAACTTATTGCATCACTTCACGCCGGTTTTCTGAGAGACAGTGGTACTGCCCCGGTCGTGCCTGCCCATTTGGCTGAAGCCCGAAGGCAACAGCATGGCACTCCCACTAGGAAGGGGTTGACTGATTGCGCTGATGAAATAACCTCTGTCACAGGTTATTTCACCAGTGGGCGATGGGGTCGTCACGTCCCGACGCCAAAAAATATTAACAGTATAAATTATATGTATAAATATATAACGTGCTTTTTCAGAATGCGTCCGACCGGAAATACGTGTGTCGTATCCCTCCTTTGCTCACTTGCGGGACCTCAAGTTGCGGAACTGGAGCTCACAATGTCGCTTTATCAACGCGCGCAGTTCGCAGGAAGCGCTGTAGCCAGACTTGTTGTTATAGTTTCTGAATATGAATTTTAAATAAATTTTATGCATTAGTACGTATTTTATTAAGGAAAGATTGATTACGTTCGTAGCACAAATAGATAAGGATTGTGTCTCAAGCGAACATTTTTTTTATTGGACAGGAGGCAACTGAGTCGGCGCGTCACTTTGAGTAAAGTGCAGCCGCTGCCCATGGTCTCCTGCATCGCTTGGGCTTACGGTTGTGTTAACGGCCATGCCGTGTGGTTAAAGAATCATGGACATCGACATTATGAGTGATGAAAACGGCAACACTGGCTGTACAATCCGAAGTTTTCACCAACTTGATTACGATTTTTCGTGGATGAAGGTTTAAATAGTTATTTACACTTTGTTGCATTACAATTTACAAATTTAACATAATTAAATGTAAAGGAGGGCAACTGGCGGCCTTATCGCTTTCGAGCGATCTCTTCCAGGCAACTACTGTGAGAAAAGGAAAAAAATTTATTAAATCAGATAAGGAAGGCCAGAAGTGCAAAAATACATATTACGTATATTATGAAAAATATAAATATATATTAAGAAAAAAAATTAAACTAAACAGGAACAAAACAAACTAAACTAATAAAGGATACATGAAAAATTAAAAGTAAAAATTGCACATGAATCATAATAATTTAATTTAAGATCAGTCTCACGTCAGTTAGTAGGTAGTTATTACGAAAGTTAGGGATACGATGTGGACAGGTAATGTTTATACAGAAGAAATTTAAAGGAAGATAGAGCTAAGCGAATAGGGACGGGAAGGGAATTCCATAGCCTAACTGCAGAGACCTTAAATGACTCGCCAAGAAAGGAGGAGTTATGAGATGGCACTTCAGGGATATTGTTTTCGGACGAGCGTAAGCTATAGTTATGGGATCCCAACAATTTGAAATCATTTTTGCGATAGGCAGGAGTTTTAGGGTTGAACAGGATGGAATAAAAGAGATGGAGATATATACCTATAGATATATTAATAAAGTTTACTACTTTATTAAAACATAACTTTACTTATGTGTGATATAATACAATCGTATCACTACAACCCATAGGTCACTATAGTTTATAAACAAACATTATAAACAAAATCATAACAAAAAGATCATTTTACAGTATTTGTTTCTCAATCGTACCTGAACCTCTTTGAAGCCATATTTTTTTATATCTTCGCGAAATGGAAATTTTCACACTCTTTATTTTTGGCGCTATCCTAGGATTATGTGTATCTGGTATTTATAAAATTATTTGTAAGTAATTTGTGATTAAATATATTTATATTTTTAATTTACACTTCAGAGGCTATAATCTATATACATAGTTAGCCGCATTTAATTTTTAATTCGTCAATGAATTTTAAAGCGACACTCTTTATTGGATTCAGTACGAAATAACTTTCAGAACCTCCACAAATAGATAGAAGATATGCATGTGAAGGAAAAACACTAAACATTGAATGTAACAACGGCTCAGTTATACGTCTTATTCGAGCAAACTATGGACGATTTTTAATAACAATTTGTAATAAAAACGGGAACACCAATTGGAATACCAACTGTTTCTCAACCCAATCTATGCGTGTTGTACATAATAGGTAAGTATACTTATTTTATAACAATAGTCTATTTTCATCCTTCCCCAGTCAGCTGTCCGTCCTTCAGGTGCCCCTGCCCCTGCCTTGATGATGCAGCGTCCAAACACTTCTTTGACCACATTCAAACAAGAGTCTTGGTGCCGGTTTTTAGTAGAATGTCTGTTGAGCTGTAGATGAACTTCAGGCAACCAGCAAGATTAAAAAATTATTGATACTTTAATAAAGTTTAAAAATTACTATCATATTTCTATATCTACCCATGAACATGATACTACTCATACGAAAATGCTGGTTAAAAATCAAATGAACGCAAAAACTTTACAGGATTTCAATTACGAATGTTTTTTTAGATGTCACATGAAACAGTCTTGCAGTTTACTAGCGAATGCTGAATTTGGAGATCCTTGTCCAGGCACAGACAAATATTTAGAAATACATTATCATTACAAAACTGCTAATTACTACACGATACTGTACGTCCGCTGTATGTCTGTGTAGCCATAAAGATTTATAGATGTGTGAGCTTACGTTTAGAACTTATTTATTACACTCCAAATTATTAATGCTTATATTTCCAGCTCCAACTACTACTACTACTGAATCTTCGGCACCACCAGCCTGGTTCGTCACAGTTCCTACAAACTGAACTATACAAACGAGTTATAAATCGACTTAATATAATCAACATGTCCTTAAGGTTAGGTCAATAAAACAACCAAGTAAATAGTAATATATCTTTTATTAAGCAAGATTATTCACCATACGGTGTTACTCGAATACACATACTATGTAACGGTGCATTAGTAACTGATTAGATTGATCACAACATATATAAAATTAAATTATCTATACATATTGGGTTAATCTGGTCCCGAATCCATGTATAACATTCCTAGTGTAAGCCTTTCAGACACAGGATTTTTGGGGTGTTTTCTCTTTACCAGCCCCAAGCTATCAATATATAGAATCATTTTCGCAAAAAATTGTAATCAACCTCAGATCTATCTCGCGATATGTAAACGGTCGCAAAATTATTATTCGAAACCTGCACAATTTAATAGTAATGCGTTATATTATGCGATTGATTATAATCCATCGAAAATCGTGATACTAATGGTAATGGTTGATGACAGGGCTGATTATGTGTGATAATTATACTACTTAATTGAGCTTTTCTTCTCTTGCTTGGTGTTGGTAATGCCGTACAGCGGTCCGCGCTGCGCTTACTAAACGCGACATTATACCACGTTTCGCGCGGTGGTGGCCTTCCCCCCCCCCTTCCCCTTTTCGGGTTTTTGCCCGGGGGGGGGGCGCCCCCAACACGGGGCGGCGCCTGGGGGCCCCCCCGTTGTCGTTCCGCCCGCGCGCCCCCCCCGGGGGGGGGGGGGTGT